ACTTCATTTCAGTTATTTATCCTCAGTTTTCATAAGTTAAAATATCTTCTTGTATTAGATATTTCTCAAAGTCACCGTGTGCATCGTATAAAAGAGCTTTCTATCAAATAAATTTCGGCTCATCTTCATGCAACATATGATACTGAAACCCTTTTAAGGCAAATGTTTCGATTTGTAAAAGTATTATGGTTTAATGGAAATCTTACTTGGATCAACTTCCGCTCAAAATCTTTGTTTTCTTCCTTTCTACAAGAAAAAGAAACGAAATTCAACGCCGTTGATTCACTTTTGCTACAAATTTACGGTAAATACCTCACTTCTTCGACGTTAGATTCCGGAGAAAGAATGATAGAAGAAAGTCTTTCATTTTCTGGATCTACACAAAAGATTATCGAATATCTTAGATTTCTACTTCTATTTTAAAGATAAACTATCCCTATAGTAAACCTTCTTCCATAATGTCATTTCTTTTCAACGATTGAACAGCACCCACGTATTTCTTTAGTTGGTGTTTGAGCAAATCATTTTCACTAAAGAGCAAAAACAAACAGGTCAACAGACATCTTTGATTAGCGGAAATGCAGAGTTCTCAATGTCCTAACCTTTTTAAGCCGTTAAGAGCGACGCAATTTTCTTCATTTTTCGACGACATATCTCTTTTTAAATCTTCTAATTGAAGACGAAGAGAAGCTGACTTCATCATCTCTTTTTCCAAATGTTGTTGTAACGATCTACAGGAAAGATGATCGAAGGAAAAATCAGGGCAAAATAGTGTATATTCGAATGGAATGTTAATATTAAACGAAGGACGATAATACAACCTGTTACGTTCTTCAACTTCATCTTTTCTTAACATCATCGATACAATCGCCTGTTTTAATTCCTCTTCAACAATAAAAAGCCACGTATTTATTTATATTCATGAATTATAATTATTCACACATACAAATATTCAGTTCACATGATGAAATTTGACGGATGTCTCCAAACAAGCAAAGCAACTACGATACAAACAGTAAAATACAATTGCACTAAATATTTCTATATTTAAAACTAACTCTACCTGCTAATAGGCCATTTATAGTTTGAGAACCTGAGGCAAAAGTGCCTCTCCCGTTCCCAAAACATTTTTCCAAAAGATATAAGAAATAAAAACCATTTAAATACATGAATAGAAAAAACACACAAACCTGAAGTCATTTCTTTGCCTGATGGATATTCCTCTGATGGCTAAAGAACGAAAACATACCAAATATAACGAACTAAATAAAACAAAGATATTTACACATGGCTTTCTACCCTCCCCTCCCCCCCTCAAAAAAGATAAAAGCATTTCATTATTAACTAACATTCATACAGCCATCACCCATGGTTCTGACCAATGACGATCCTGAGTAATCATTAATTTCTATGCTACCATCACGTGTGGCACATATCGCTGCAACAGTTGCTCCAATTGCTAAACTTGCATCATTCTCGACGTCTTCATCAGTGTAAATACTGAAAACAACATAAATTACCACCTCAGTTAAAATGGTGAACTCGTTAGACATTCTTGTAGATAAAATAAAGAACTATCTTCTAACCTTGAAACGGGCGAATCATTTATTGACTGAACTAAATGTCGCAACGTCTCAGGTGCAACAGTAAATCGCTCATTTTCATCTGACGTAGCTAGACCCCTAACTCCTTTATCGTCATCAGGGCAAACTACGGGAATTAGAGATACACCGCTGTTCATATCAACAAGAGGCTCACACACTTCTTCCTCCGACAAGAGCGATGAGTAAGTGTAATGCCCTGATTGCAAAGATGTTGTCAAAGAATGATTTTTTTTTCAAATCATTCGCAGTTATAAACTCGTTTTTAAGATGCAGAACTTCCTGGCTTTTCTTTGTTAATCGAGCCACTTGTTCATCTGTTTCATTCTCCTTGTTCTCAACGTTGGTTTTCGCCATTGTGGAAGAAAGACTTGAATTCTCAGAATTCGAACAATAAGCCAACTGAGAGTTCTTTGGCATTTCAAGAAAATCGTCAGGCCTTTTAGTGAAAGCATGGTTACCACGAGCATGTACCTGAGAATCAGTATTACGTTGTAATATATCGTATGCCGCTCGGGTAAAACTCGTGGAACTATCGTGAGCAGTCGTTGTCGTGGAAGAACTACCATGAGAACTGACAGTAGAAGTTCGTTCTTCCGTCTCTTTGAATTCAACATTTTCAATTTGAGCAATGTTTGCTTTCTTTTTTTTACGTTTTTTCTTTTCTTTTCCTGAAACACAAAAGAAAGATAAAAGTTAAAAATTAATAAAGACGCGTGTGGATAAATGACCACGCATTGTTCAAGTATGATAAAGAATAAATGAGGACGCGCGGTTAAGGGATAATAAGGGATGATAAGGGATGAATAAACAACAGGTATAGTTAAGGGATAAATGAAGACAGGTAATAATGGGATAATAAAGGTTAAGGAGAACGCATGTTTGGGGGATTACAAGGAATAAATGACATGTGTGGTTAAGGAATGATAAGATTAGCAATATATGAGATGAATGGTAGGGATAATTAGGGATAAAAGGGATATTTTTGATCGGGAGAGAAAAATGAAATTCTGATCAAATCTTTATTTTCTTAAAATGTTGTATTTAACAAACTTCACCAGGAGCTCCTGACGTCGCATACTTTGGTGATGGTACAGCCCATACTGATGTTGGACGAGAAACTGCTTGGCTGATGTTGCCTGAAATCTAAAATTAAATTAAATTCAAGTAGTTAAGGAAAAGTACATTCATAGCTTCCACTTTTTTACTAACCATTTCTATTTGCAATGATTCATTTTTAAACAATATCAATAGCATTCCAGCATATCTGTACAGTAATAGAGTTAAACTCAGCTTTGTCAATGTCAATTGCAAAAAGAATTGAACTTAAGCCTTAAAGAAGAAACACGGAATGATAAAAAATCCATTATAGAAATATAAACAAGTTTATTCTTACCAGCAGCCATCATTGGTAACATACTAGATCGTTCATCATCCAATAATAATGCATCTTGCTCATAATACTGACTGAAATTAAAACAATTACACATCGTATAATTATTCTGACAAAAACAGCTTACCGTTAAAAGAAAATTGCATTACTATATCGTATTATACATTGGTTATGATAATCATATAGCTTATCAAGCCAAACTCGATCTTTCTTTCTTAGATGTTACTAAAATCAAACTTAAATGATAATTTAAAGATGATTTGATGAGTTAAATTTATATAGCTATTAAGCATGATTGATAACGGCTCCCATATCGTGATTATTATTAGATACCTCCGAATGAGTCCAGAGCGGTTTGACCATTTGTTGTCATTAGTGGGTCCATATATAGCAAAACAAACGACACGTCTTCGTGAAACTATAAGCCCATCTGAAAGGCTGGTGATAACGTTGAGATATTTGGCCAGTGGCGATTCTCAGCAATCACAATCGTTTAACTTCCGAATACGACGAAGTACTGTTTGTGGAATAGTGATAGAGACATGTGCTGGAATCTGGAAGGCATTGAGCTCTCAGTACTTGAAAGCACCTAAAACAATAACAGATTGGAAGGAAATATCCAAAACTTCTTGGACGAATGGGACTTCCCACTGTCTAGGAGCACTAGATGGGAAGCATATAATGACTGAATGCCCAGCAAGAGGAGGTTCTGACTTTTTTAATTACAAAGGTTTTCACAGTATTGTACTGTTAGCAATCTGTGATGCAAAATATTGCTTCACAATTGTTGATATTGGAAGCTTTGGAAAGGACAATGATGCCAATATATTTAATCAATCAGTCATTGGAAAAGGCTTTGCATCGGGTTCATTTAACATCCCAGAAGCAGAAAATGTTGGTGCGTCGGAAAAACTGCCTTATGTTATTGTGGCTGATGACATTTTTGGTTTAAAAACATATCTAATGAAACCATATCCAGGAAGCAACTTAACTGAGTCCCAAAAAGTATTTAACTATAGACTTAGCAGATGTAGAAGGGTTATCGAAAATGCATTTGGCATCTTATCAGCACGTTGGAGAATATTTCGGCGACCAATCAAGGCGAAACCTTGTAATGTTGACAGTATTGTTAAGGCTTGTGTTTGTCTACACAACTATTTACAATTAACAGACAATGCTCATTATGTTCCACAAGGCTTTGTTGACAGAGAAGATGGAAGCGGTGCAATTATTCCAGGGGATTAGCGCTTAATTACCTGTAATAATTCAGGTGGGATGAGATCTCTGTTGCAAAGAATCAATAAGTATGGCAATGATGCGAAAACGACAAGGGAAAGCTTTGAGAAATATTTCAACAGCAGAAAAGGCTCAGTGGCTTGGCAATTAAAACATGTAAGGAACTGTGGGGAGGATTTTGCTACTGCTACATATAACAAGGAAGACATGTAAACGTTTATTGATCACATAACATTGTTTGTATATAAAGTTAAATATGATCACTATAATGATAGCAACAATATCAAACAGTTCAACAAGTGTCACTGTTCCACAATAACTGGAGTCTGTAACTTTAAAGTAACAAGGGTTGATATTTCATGCTGTACATCTGCAATACATGCTAAAATATCATTTTCAACTTCCGCCTACATTAGATGACATAAGATTTCCAAATTCTAAGTCAAAAAAGATCTTTTCTATGCAATGCCTGACATAAACCTTTAATCTGTCATCCAACTTGCCCATTCTTTCAGCCAAACTCAAACAGTAGTGGACATCAGCTGACATAGTTGTGTTTTCATCTTGCAGTTTGCAGGAGGCCTCAAGTGACTTCTGAAAGCTGTGCATGACTTTGCAAAGTTCTAGATCTGCATTTGGCTGCCTGTGCTCATTTGACCATGGCCTTTTACACAAGCTGGTGATTTTTTGCTTTTGGCAGACCACGTTACTTGAGCATCCGTTACATTTGAATTGATGAAAATTAAAATATGAAAATTGTAAGGCACTGTTTACATGAAATCACACCTTTCGAGTATTTCAAGGGAAGGTTTATATTCTGAAACACAAACTGTTTCCTCCTCGTCTTCTTCTTCTCTACTAGTATCCATACTTGTACCAGAAACTTTGAGTGGCTCTTCAGGTATAATAATATTTGAACAAGTCGATCGTGATTTGATGAAGGGACACAACCAGCGCAAATGTTCGTATTTGGCCTCCAATATTACCGAATCACTGCCAGATCCAGAAGACGGTTTGCACCTCTTAAGATACCGCGAAAAAGTGGTTCGAATGCTCTCATATCTTTGTTTGCACGTATTCACATCCATGTCTGTATGAAGGGATGCGATCTCTTTCCACGCATTGGACTTGATATTCTTGTCCTTGAATTGAGCACTGCTACGGTTGTATATACTTGGAAACTCTTTTATAATTTCCATAAATGAACAATCGTCCCCGTTTTGAGACTTTGTAGCAAGATTTTTTAAATAGGCATGCAATTGCACTTCCACTCCTTGGTCATCCGCCATTTTGAAAAGCTGTGAGTGTCGGATTCTGGTCGGATTTCATGTTCACACTTGTCGTAATTTGTCGTACGAATCCCCGATTGGCGCAGTTTTACTGGGACATCAGAATCAAATAGAAAGCATTCCTATTTTCCCGATGTTTGTGACTTTGTCGCAGATTATCTGGGATCTCGTATTTGCCATGTTCACACTTATCAATAAACTACTGGGACCGTCGCATATGATAAAATACTACGATTTTTCCGACTCTTACGACAAGTGTGAACCAGGCTTAAGGCCCACAATTATTTGCCCCGTATCCACTCAAGCGACGCAGACATTTGACGCTTAACTCTTCAGAACGTTGAATTTATCTGAAAGATTGAATGTTCAAAGTTCCAACCGTCGACCAGCAAAAGGTTTGTAAGATAAAAGATAAAGATTTATCATGTGTGTTTACGATGTATAAATGTGACCTTAAATACAAAATGTTTCTCATATTTAATTAATATATTTTTACTAAATATTAGTCACACCTTAGTACTATGAAATATACATCATAGATACACGTAGCAATCCTGTAATTGTATACCAATCAAACGAAGTTGCAAATACAAACAATTTACTTACGAAAAATAATTACTGCCATCGAAAGGAAGGCCTGTTTATCGTGATGTGTTTGTTTGCCAAGAAATTCAAATTGCTTGCTAGCATGCAATTATATTCATCTTTGGATCCGGACGGTATATTTATAAAATATGTGTTATTTCATTATACTTGTGATAGTATGACGTGACATTTATGAATCAGGAGGAAAATTAAGTTTGAAATTGCAAATGGACTCATGCATGCCATCATTATTATTTTAAATATTTAGTCGGATTTTTAAACATTTAGTCGTTTTGTAACTTTGCAATTATCTTTCGTCGAGCTGTTGACGCTATAAGGTGATACATGCAAGTTCAGCATTGAATAGTTTAGATATTTAAGTCGTTTTAGAAGTAGAAATATTGATCAGGAAGTGGGTTTATCTTTGTCATAAACTATAGCATCGCTTGTTCAATTTTGTAAGTCCGCATTTTAAATGGGGCCAAAGAATTTTCCTTATCTTTGTGACGTTACAATTGTTTTCGTCGATGCTTAGCTGTTGACGCTAATGTTGTTATGTGCAAATTCATCGCATTAAATAATACAATACTGAAGATCTCTGATTTCCTATCAACTTGATAACCTTATAAGTACAGCTAGGCAATCAAACAATTCTGCACATCTGTGTAAAAGGAAGCATGCATATGTGACGTCACTCGTGTCACGTGTCCTAAGATATGAATATTACAACTTATTAATTCCTTTTAACACCCACTTAATAGTCATATTAACAAAACTAACAAATCTTCATGACACAAAATTAAAACTTATTATTGTTCTTTGACTTCAACTACTCCCAATAGCTTTGTAAAGTTTTGATATTAAACTTTTGAGAGTCTTTTGGTTATTATATCACCAATCATGTCTTCTGTTTGGCAACACTTGAAAGAAATTATGTTATTTTTGACGTGTTGTCACACATAGTGATACGACACATCTACAGTGGTTGACCAAAAAAAAATGTCCCCGTAATGAAATATGAGTTTTGTTTATAAAATTCATGAATTTAAAAAAAAACTGTTCAGAAATAATCGTAATAAAACAACAGTTCTAGTAAACGACAATACTTAAGCAGTAATTTACAAAAAACTGTGCATGTGCAGAAATGTCGACGGTCCTGCAACACTGAAATAATTCGTCATGTTTATATATTGCAACAAAAATCAACACAAACATCAAGCAATTTTTAAAACCAACGCAACGTATACATGAAAATAAAGAATTTGAATTGTTAAGAGTAAAAAACAAGACACTGTCAGCAGATATATCAGAATAAAAAAGGCGAACGGATCTTGAAATTCGATATATGCTAAATGCTAGAGTCAGTGTTTGTAATTAGGAAGTTGCACAGAAGTTTCTACTAAGTTACTGTGAAGTAAAATACTGAGTTCAAAGTTGAGGTTAACTTGAGATTGTAATCACACCTCCTAGTGGTAGAAAAAAACAACAGACCACTGAGAGAAGGAATATTTTCATTGCTAACACCTCAAAGTTAAGTACCCTATCAAAGATTTCTTTTTAAACCTTATAGTTCCAGACTTCAAATGCAGCCTTTAGATAATCTTCGTAGCTTTGCAAATGTCTTTTGTTGATGCTAAGGTTTATTTATACTAAGTTTCGTCGTATTAAATAATTAAAAAACTGAAATGCTGTGATTTCGTCATCAATCTGATATTGAACATTTTTATAACTTCATCAATACAGTTAGGCAATCAAATAATTCTGGACATCACGTGATACGTCAGTGAAAACACAAACTGTGCAACAGCCGTTTCTTACGTCACTTCTGGCATTCAAGACAAAGACAAAACATAAATTTCCATTTGACTTCGGAAACTCTCTATAGTTGTCCTTATTCAAACTAAAGTTTGATTTGTTATGTCCTCTGAATGCCAGTTCCTTTTTAAATATTTGTCTTTCTTTTTTTCCTTTTATCCTCATTATGACGTTTCACAGCCTCTCTTGTCTTTCAGAATAAAACTTCCTCGTTAACATCGTTGTCCATAATGTTTAACACTTGCAAATATGAAAAAAGTTATTTCATTTTTTATGATTCTCGAAAACGTCGCAAAATGATGCTTTTTAATACATAGCCAATGTTGTTCGCAGCAGCACACAATCACAAGAAACTATCTTTAATTTCTAACTTATCGAAACTGTTAGAATCTGCTATCTCTTAGTTTTCTTTTCAGTCGGTGCGTACCATAGAGACGTGTTATAAATTACGAACATTCTGATCTATAATATTTTGCGAACTAAAAGGTCTTTGTAAAGCTCATAGAAATTATATCTGAAAACTTTTATCGTATTTGTAGATACACGTTCTAAAAAGTCACGACCAATAGGCAATATTCAACATTCCAGTTTACGTTAATCATCCCTAAAACGCGTTAGTTTATCAACATACATTAAAAATTTTCATTTCATATTAAAATATAATCAAAATAGTGGTTCATGGTTTTAAAATTGATAAAGAATTTTACCATTGCCAATCAATTGTCGTACATAGCCAAAGAAAAACAAGATCTTGTGTTACAACATGTTGTAAAACATATATATTTATAAAATCAAGTTTTAAGTAATGCGTTAGAGTCAATGAAATTAAATAAACATAAACCTTAGTAAATTTAAAAGACCATTAGCTACAACATTATAACATATTCTTAGATACAGAGGCATGACATTCACAAATGACTATGCAAATTATTGAAGAATATATTCTTATGTCTGTTTTGTAACGTAAACGTTAAGGTAAAATATCATGTTTTTTTAATTTTTCTTAAGGTTGTTTGACAGGATACTGCAGTTGGTAAAATCTGTAGCATACATGCTCTCTGTCATTATTAGTTTTTAAGTTCTTTTGTAATATTAAGACGATTTTGGTGAAGTTAAATCAATGGAACCTAATAAGGGTTGTATAATATTCTTTATTTGCTTGATTTTTATCTTGTTGATATATACCAAATTTTTGTACAGATGGAATCGTCAGGAATAAGAAATCTGTCTTACATTCAGCAAATAATTAACGTGGTACAAAAGGAACTTGCTCAGTTTTTCATTAAACAATGGAACTCTCGTTACAAATCAACTTATGGAGAATGGGATGATACACACATCAGTGGTAACAAATTTTACAATTTAGAATCAAGAAGAAAGTTAGACCAAAAAACTCGACAAAAATATCAAGATGGAGATACCAGTAAGTGGGACTGTACGATATTATTTGATGCAATATTTTTTTCAAATTCAATTGGAAAGCACCTTGACAAAAAAACAAAGGATGCTGTTCATGCACTTCGTTGTGAAAGAAACAAGTACGCACATTGGTATGAAAGGAATGCTCAGATGATGATTTTGATGATATAGTCAACATCATTGAAAAATCATTTCAAGATTTGAAATTTTCTCTCGATGAAATCAATAAAATAAAAATCATCGTGACAGTTTTGATTTATTTCAAGTTCTTCCTTCAAAACCTAATCATTTTTTCGTTGAACGCTCTGAATTACGAGATAAAATTATAAAAGATCTTGAAAAATTAAGGAATGATAACAATGATAAACTGACATATTTTTACATCACTGGTAATCCTGGCAGTGGTAAATCACAACTTGCAAGACAGGTTTGTGAAAAAATATCGTGTGATTGGAAAAATAGAACTTCGTTTGTAATGACTCTCGATGGAAAAATGAGGAATCTCTTTTAAAACTTACTGTGAACTTGGATACCGTTTAAACTGTGACAAGGATATGATTAAAAAATTTGAAGATGAAAATTGTTCCATCGCAGACAAAGTGAAGAATTTGCGATCGTTAGTATCCACACGATTAAAATTCTGGCAAAATTGGTTGATCATTGTAGACAACGTGGCACAGCTTAGCAAAATTTCTTCATTACTCCCCCAAGTTGGTGATCCCATGTGGATAAATGGACAAATCATAGTAACTATCCAGAACACAGATGCCGTACCTCAAGACGATGAGTTTAACAAACATATTTCTATCAGAAGTGGAATGAATGATAAAGAATGTTGTCAACTGTTGGAATATTACACTAAAGATGATAATACTGATGATCAATTGTTGAATGAAGTATCCCACGCATTAGATCGTCAACCGCTGGCTTTGGCTGCCGCTGGTTGTTATGTCAGTCGTGTAAACAAAGCAAACTGCTCATTTACTTGGAAAGAATATTTAAAGAAAATATTTTCAGAAGAACAAGAAAACATGGACGCCACTTTTGTTAAACTTAACTCGGTATATCCTAGAAGTATGTTACAAGCTTCACTTTTAGCTGTCAGACAAAATGCTGAAGAATCCTCAATATTGGCAAATGTTATTAACTTTTTTTCCGTGATATCGTTTGATCCTATACCACGAGACATTATTATTTGTTATGTTCAAAAAATAGATCCCAAACACTCAAAGGAAGATATATGTCTTTGTTTAAAGGACTGCTCATTGTTCTTGCATTCAGAAAATAATGACATTAGTCTACATCGCATTGTTCACAAAGCAATTATTGTTTATCAATCTGAACATTCAAATGAAGAACATGAAATGGAAAGTAACGTTGATCAAATATCTAAAGCACTTTACATGTTTAAAGAGAGAGACGACGAAATCAAATTAATGCCACATCTTGAAAAATTGTTCAATTATTAAAGACCAACAAGACAAAATCAACATGAACACTTTACAAGTTTTCCAATATTTTGTTGACAAATTAAGACATTTTGGAAAATACGATCTTGCTCTTGAACTATTGGATAAATTTAACTCAGAAGAATCTAGTTATGACAAAGCTTGGTATTTTAATATCCTTGGTCTTTTATACAATGACACTGGGAAGTATAGCAAAGCTAAAAATCATCACGAAAAAGCTCTGGAAATTCGAAAACAATCGTTAGGTGCAAATCATGTTGATGTCGCTACGTCTTTAAACAATCTTGGTAATGTGTTTAAAAAAACTGGAAACTACGATAAAGCTATAGAGCTTCATGAAAAAGCTCTGGAAATTCGAAAACAATCGTTAGGTCCAAATCATGTTGATGTCGCTACGTCTTTAAACAATCTTGGTAATGTGTATAATGAAACTGAAAACAACAACAAAGCTATAGAGTTTCATGAAAAAGCTCTGGAAATTCGAAAACAATCGTTAGGTGCAAATCATGTTGATGTCGCTTTGTCTTTAAACAATCTTGGTGTTGTGTTTAAAAAAACTGGAAACTACGATAAAGCTATAGAGCTTTATGAAAAAGCTCTGGAAATTCGAAAACAATCGGTAGGTGCAAATCATGTTGATGTCGCTTTGTCTTTAAACAATCTTGGTGTTGTGTTTAAAAAAACTGGAAACTACGATAAAGCTATAGAGTTTTATGAAAAGCTCTGGAAATTCAAAACAATCGTTAGGTCCAAATCATGTTGATGTCGCTGGGTCTTTAAACAATCTTGGTAATGTGTATATGAAACTGGAAACTACGACAAAGCTATAGAGTTTCATGAAAAGCTCTGGAAATTCGAAAACAATCGTTAGGTCCAAATCATGTTGATGTCGCTGAGTCTTTAAACAATCTTGGTAATGTATACTGATACTGGAAACTACAACAAAGCTATAGAATTTCATGAAAAGCTCTGGAAATTCGAAAACAATCGTTAGGTGCAAATCATGTTGATGTCGCTTTGTCTTTAAACAATCTTGGTGTTGTGTTTACAAAAACTGGAAACTACGATAAAGCTATAGAGCTTTATGAAAAAGCTCTGGAAATTCGAAAACAATCGTTAGGTGCAAATCATGTTGATGTCGCTTTGTCTTTAAACAATCTTGGTGTTGTGTTTACAAAAACTGGAAACTACGATAAAGCTATAGAATTTCATGAAAAAGCTCTGGAAATTCGAAAACAATCGTTAGGTGCAAATCATGTTGATGTCGCTTTGTCTTTTACAATCTTGGTGTTGTGTTTAAAAAAACTGAAAACTACGACAAAGCTATAGAATTTCATGAAAAAGCTCTGGAAATTCGAAAACAATCGTTAGGTCCAAATCATGTTGATGTCGCTGCGTCTTTAAACAATCTTGGTTTATTGTTTAATAAAACTCAAAACTACGACAAAGCTATAGAGTTTCACGAAAAAGGTCTGGAAATTCAAAAACAATCGTTAGGTCCAAATCATGTTGATGTCGCTGCGTCTTTAAACAATCTTGGTAATGTGTATAATGATACTGGAAACAACAACAAAGCTATAGAGTTTCTTGAAAAAGCTCTGGAAATTCAAAAACAATCGTTAGGTCCAAATCATGTTGCTGTCGCTGGGTCTTTACAATCTTGGTGTTGTGTTTTAAAAACTGAAAACTACGACAAAGCTATAGAATTTCATCAAAAGCTCTGGAAATTCGAAAACAATCGTTAGGTCCAAATCATGTTGATGTCGCTTTGTCTTTACAATCTTGGTGTTGTGTTTAAAAACTGAAAACTACGACAAAGCTATAGAATTTCATGAAAAGCTCTGGAAATTCGAACAAAATCGTTATGTCCAAATCATGTTGATGTCGCTGCGTCTTTAAACAATCTTGGTTTATTGTTTAAAGAAACTGAAAACTACGACAAAGCTATAGAGTTTTACGAAAAAGCTCTGGAAATTCAAAAACAATCGTTAGGTCCAAATCATGTTGATATCGCTGAGTCTTTAAACAATCTCGGCAATGTGTATAATGATACTGGAAACAACAACAAAACGATAGAATTTCGTGAAAAAGCTCTGGAAATTCAAAAACAATCGTTAGGTGCAAATCATGTTGATGTCGCTAGGTCTTTAAACAATCTAGGCAATGTGTATAATGATACTAGAAACAACAACAAAACGATAGACTTTCGTGAGACAGCTCTGGAAATTCGAAAACAATCGTTAGGTGCAAATCATGTTGATATCGCTTTGTCTTTTACAATCTTGGTGTTGTGTTTTTAAAAAAACTGAAAACTACGACAAAGCTATAGAATTTCATGAAAAAGCTCTGGAAATTCGAAAACAATCGTTTGGTGCAAATCATGTTGATGTCGCTTTGTCTTTTACAATCTTAGTGTTGTGTTTAAAAAAACTGAAAACTACGACAAAGCTATAGAATTTCATGAAAAAGCTCTGGAAATTCGAACACAATCGTAATGTCCAAATCATGTTGATGTCGCTGCGTCTGTAAACAATCTTGGTTTATTGTTTAAAGAAACTGAAAACTACAACAAAGCTATAGAGTTTTACGAAAAAGCTCTGGAAATTCAAAAACAATCGTTAGATCCAAATCATGTTGATATCGCTGCGTCTTTAAACAATCTCGGCAATGTGTATAATGATACTGGAAACAACAACAAAACGATAGAATTTCGTGAAAAAGCTCTGGAAATTCAAAAACAATCGTTAGGTGCAAATCATGTTGATGTCGCTAGGTCTTTAAACAATCTTGGCAATGTGTATGATACTAGAAACAACAACAAAACGATAGACTTTCGTGAGAAAGCTCTGGAAATTCGAAAACAATCGTTAGGTGCAAATCATGTTGATATCGCTGCGTCTTTAAACAATCTCGGCAATGTGTATAATGATACTGGAAACAACAACAAAACGATAGAATTTCGTGAAAAGCTCTGGAAATTCAAAAACAATCGTTCGGTGCAAATCATGTTGATGTCGCTAGGTCTTTAAACAATCTAGGCAATGTGTATAATGATACTAGAAACAACAACAAAACGATAGACTTTCGTGAAAAGCTCTGGAAATTCGAAAACAATCGTTAGGTGCAAATCATGTTGATGTCGCTGCGTCTGTAGACAATATTGGTTTATTGTTTAAAGAAACTGAAAACTACGACAAAGCTATAGAGTTTTACGAAAAGCTCTGGAAATTCAAAACAATCGTTAGGTCCAAATCATGTTGATGTCGCTAGGTGTTTAAACAATCTTGGTAATGTGTATAGTGATACTGGAAACTACGACAAAGCTATAGAGTTTCATGAAAAGCTCTGGAAATTCGAGAACAATCGTTAGGAACTAGTCAGGTTGATGTCGTTAAGTCTTTTAAAAAATCTATGTGTGTTGTATTATGAAACTCGGGAATATGACAAAGCTTTACAGTTACACTTTGGTAGCTACGTGTTTCAAAGAAAATTGTGCCTTTTAAATTATGTTAAGCCTATTTTTTAACACATAGACCGTAGGTGCAAGGCTTCCACCTGCCAAGTCAGCTCCCCCTCTCCCTCAGAAGGTATTTTTGGTAGTGAATAAAACGTTTGCAATTTGCATTTTGTGAGGTAAAATGAACCTAAAGATGTAATGATCCTTGTCTATATAAAGTTTCACAGATATCTAGTCAATAAACTTACTCTACAGCCGTGAATCATCCTAAGTAGAACTTAGAACTGCCCATGCCCTGAATCTGACATTCTTCTTTAGACTTTATTTCTAAAGTAATTTGCTTTTATGTAATAACCAAGTAGTAATTTTTATTGTATGATTTACAAACATACTAAAGTATATTGGGATGACAGAATTTTGTAAAATAAATACTATCTTATCAGTTGTTCATATTCTTTGATACATTCAGTAATTTTTTACCCAGCTCCGTAAGCCTATGACCATATTCCAGGTTCCTATAATTTCCAAGTGGTACACCTTTCATACCATACATACCACCCCACCATGCTGCAGCCAATATTCCTGTGCTGTCACTATCTCCACCATGAAACATAGAACAAGGGCACAATTGAAACCAGGATTCTTTTGCCATCATCAAAGCATCGTAAGCAATCATTGGTGCATCATGACCACTGAACCCACCCCAACCTGCATAACTGACAAATTTATAAAAAGCATCACGTTCAGGTATGTTATATGTCACTCGAAACTTTGGTTCAATGGTTCCATTCATTAATCCCGTAGTTCAAGATATGACTCTCAACCATTTTAAAGTAGCCCCAAGATTTCTTGTTTTCTTCTACATCACGACCAACCTTCTCAATATATTCCCAAACTTTGGGTAAAACACTTAAAAGTCCTGCTCCCCATTTTTTTGGAGTCATCTTCTGTATAGCATAGGCTGTAAATAAAGCTGCAGTAACAGCCCCTAGATAACCTATAATTAAAATCATTATCTTTAAAGATTGCTAATTTCATGTCACTAACAATATGATGACCCTATTTACATGATAGCGGCATTTTGAAATGGATCATGGATTGAATGGCTGTAGTAGTGAAGACATTAGAGAAAACAGCAATGGCAATTCAAACAGTTTTAGAAGACAGAAATTTGGAAATGTGGAAAAGCGATAAAAGGGATGGATCAAAGATATGGTCATTTAAAGTGAGCAATGTTAGAAGGATGGAGGCATTTGAGATGTGGTTCTAGAAAATGATGGATTGCATAGACTTATGCAAACCTAAGGTCAACCTTCTTTTATTTCATTTACAAATTGATATTAGATAAAAGGATATGAAACATTCATGGCAATGGCTTGTTCAAGTAAGTAATCGAAGGAAGAGGATTACAATATATCCATAAGTGTACCAGTCATGTTATTATAAATTTATTATGTATCCTTTGAGGTGTTCATGGTTGAGGTACATCTGTTTGTGTACCATAATATCTTATGCAAGTTGAATAATTACTATAAATTTATAATGTATCCTTTGGAGTTCAAAGTTTACATACATGTAACACACTATCACAATTCTTTTGTCCACTTTCTTTACTGAGGTTGCACCTTAAAACTTACCCTCCCTTCCCTCCCTCAACTAAGTTTATTACAAACTTGATTTCTTCATTCCTGCCAGTTGTTTCTGTAGGCAAATTGTTTTTGTAATTTACGATGGAGTCTGTTGTCACGAGTCTTCAGCAAATTCTTCATCCCAGCTTGCTGACGTTGCATTTGACGCTCTTTATCACGTCGATTATTTCTCTAAAAAATAAAAAATTTTATGTTAATGTTGTTCATATGAGAAGGAGTAATTTAGATGAAGAAATTTACAAATATGATAAAAAGTGATTTTATTTTGAGACTTAAAAGTATAGAAACATTTTCTATTGTACCTGATTGAATTTGTTCCTATTGCATGTAAACAGGCTTTTGTGGTCAACTTGTGTCAACAAGATGGAAAGTTGATTCATCTTCTTCGTGATAATATGCATATTGATTACCACCACCAAATTGATTTAAGTATTTATTTATAGAAGTAAAACAATATGATTAAACTGCATGAAAATAGTGAAGTCTAGACAGAATACAAACTTTGGTATCAACGATCTTGATAGGCTGTACTTGACCAATCAGAAACCTACATAAAATGAAAATGTATGTTATAAGACCTATATTTATACAGTCAATACAAGAAATAATATTTTATTCTCTTAAAAGTGTAGAGAGGTTTTTAATGATGACTACATAACAATGTTTAACAATAATAGCTAGTAAAATATGATTATAAATTTCACCACGTGACACAAAAATATAAGAACAACTAAAGGTCAGAGTGGAAGACATTGATAGCAAGGAATTTCTTATGAAATATAAAATATTTTACCTTGCCAAGTTTATCTCCTTTAGAGAATGGTTGATAAGGTATTCATTTAAATGCATCTGAAACAGAGGTAGGACCCCAGCCGTTTGGGTTATCTTCAATGACAGGAGGAATAAAATGAATTCGTTCAAACGCAATATTGAATATTGACTAGTTTGCATGTTTCCATCAGTCAAAGGTAGAAACGTCATCATTGTTTGTGACCGACGACCATACCGACGACCCGATGACAATTAATACCAATTTTTCGGAAATCATTTTCGGCATTGTTTTACTGAGAAAGCAAACGATTGCCTCAAAGCTGCTTAAATATTGTAGTTTCTAACGATAAAATGAAACTTTGTAAGAAGAAGTTGTCCTATTTTTCATCAAATTTCAACGTATATTGAACAGTGATACTGTCGTCACAGAATAGATAACGTAATCTATTCTGTGTCTTTGTTTTACATAACAATAAATGCCCAAAATTATTTGCTCCGTATCCACTCAAGCGACGCATACATTTGACGCTTAATTCTTCAGAACGTTGAATTTATCTGAAAGATTGAATGTTCAAAGTCCCAACCGTCGACCAGCAAAAGGTTTGTAAGACAAAAGATAAAGAATTATCATGTGTGTTTACGATGTATAAATGTGACCTTAAATACAAAATGTTTGTCATATTTAATTAATATATTTTTACTAAATATTAGTCACACCCTAGTACTATGAAATATACATTATAGATACCCGTAGCAATTTGTAATCCTGTAATTGTATACCAATCAAACGAAGTTGCAAATACAAACAATTTACTTACGAAAAATAATTACTGCCATCGAAAGGAAGGCCTGTTTATCGTGATGTGTTTGTTTGCCAAGAAATTCAAATTGCTTGCTAGCATGCAATTATATTCATCTTTGGTCCGGACGGTATATTTATAAAATATGTGTTATTTTATTATACTTGTGATAGTATGAAGTGACATTTATGAATCTGGAGGAAAATTAAGTTTAAAATTGCAAATGGACTGATGCATGCCATCATTGATAATTGAAATATTTAGTCGGATTTTTTTAAACATTTAGTCGTTTTGTAACTTTGCAATTATCTTTCGTCGAGCTGTTGACGCTAATATGAATGTTTTATGCAGTGCGGTGTTTGCTTAAATTGTCCGGCAAAGTGCGAAGATCATATCTTCATTTAATTTCTGTTGACGCTAATGTTACTATAAGGCATGAACTATGATCACCATTTTTAAGTAATATGTATGCGGTCGCGTTGTTTATATTAAATCTCTCATCTGTTTGTTGAGTATGTGACATGAAAGAACTAAAGCAAGCATAATTTTGTTCACAATGTCGTCTTACTTTAGAAAGAAAGTAATTTTAGAAAATTAAGCAATATTTTAGAACTACACTAATGACATAACAAATTACCTAAAGCAGCATCTAGATAAAGTATGACTAAACATGCATGAGAAATCATATCTAAATTGATATACCAACTTTCTAACTATTGACAATAAGCTGCATTGTAAAGGAAAGCAAAACCTGTTCAAAGGTAGGCGAGAGGTGAAATAGCATACTTGTCTATGGATATAAGGGGAATCTGTGAAAATTTATGTAGGGAGGATAGCATGTCCAATCATGCATCACCTCCATTTTTTGCCGACGCCACTTTTGACTAATCGCAGTGAGTCTAACAAAATGCTGTTAATTGTATTAAGCAAACCTTTCATTTTAAAAGTAAGAACATTTGTAATATAAACAAATTTTGAACACTGGAAGAATGTGTCTACACAGAGAAAGACGCAACCGAATCTATTTTTGGGAAATGTTCATTCATGCAACAAAGTGAGCTTTTAAAAATATAGTTTAGGCCATGTTTAACAGATTTAAGGTTTACTTTCATTGCAACCTTTACTGTTGTATCCACAGTTTCTTTATTGATCATAAGTAATTATAATTGCGTGCAGTTGATGTTTGCCACGTATTTATAATTTACAATGGTTTATTAAATAACAAAGGATTTTTATAGTAAGAACTGACTTATGCAAGAATATACATGTATGGAATTTTTCATTAATGATGGAAAAAACTCCATTCACAGTTGCGAAAATCGTGTCTTAATCATTGGCATTCAAATCTTGTCTTAGAAAGATGATTCTCTATTCCTGAGTTAAAACTTGTGAAACTTTATAAGATTTAGCAGTAGTCCTTTGGAATTTGACTAATCTCAATGTTATTATGTACTCTGCATGAGGTTCTTATTTATGTATTTTTACTTCTATAACAATTGTTTTTAGTCAGTGATGTATACTTAGTTATATAACTAGAATGTTCTACATAGGCGTCATTAATGTTTTATAATACTGTTTGTTAAAGGAGATCCTGACTCACTCTTCATCTTCGTTTGCTATTTAAATGTGTTTATGTAACAAAACTTACATGGATAAAGATTGATGTAACAATAAGGTATGAAGTATGATCACCATTTTTAAACTGATATGTATGTGGTCACGTTCTTTTTAATAAATCTCTCATCCTTTGTTAGGTATGTGACATGTAAAGAACTGAAGCAAGCTTAATTTCGACGTCGAGGTCGTCAGATATAAAGTCTTACTTCTACAACAAAGGTAATTTTACAAAAGTAAAGCGACATTTATATCCACATTACGGACTTAACAAATTAGCTAAAGAAACATCTATAGATGAAGTATGGATAAGCATGCATGAGAAATCATATCTAAATTGATACACCAACTTTTTAACTATTGACTATAAGCTGCATGGTAGGAAAAACAGTAAAACCTGTTCAAAAGTATTGGGAGGAAGAATAGCATGATTGTATTTTCTACATGTAGGACGCTGACATTTTCTTTACTTACCCTTGCATTCATCTCTAGTGGATACAGTTTGTGAAGAGGCTTGCTTATGTGCAGTGGCTTTCCTGGCTAAAAACTTTGACTTGCGCTGCTCAGACTATATTATCTTTTCCCTTGATCAATCTCTCAATTCTTGCATTTTCCCAAATCCTCTTTTCAAACTTTCCTCAAACACAAGAACTACATCACCTACTTTCGGACACAAAATACCCTTTACTTTGCCAACCTTATGACACTTCCTTACACTTGTTAAATATTCCTTCCTCCACCTGGACAAAAATGCTTTCTCAATCTCTAAATACCTAAACCTACGCTTGATCACTCCTGCATCTTCGTCATTAATAGTATGCATAATTCTTTTGCCTGGAATAGATGTTAATCTTCTTCCAAACATAAGATGTGCAGGAGTCAGTACATCTACATTCACTTCATCTTCATATACATAAGTCAATGGTCTAGAGTTTAAAGTGCCTTGTACCTCAACTAATGTTGTTAATAATTCTTCCTCGTTCAATTTAGTGCTACCCAACACCTTCTCAGACAGCCTTTCACCAATGCTACCATTCTTTCAAAAAATCCACCCCACCAGGGTGTCCTCGCCAAATTAAACTTCCATATCAACCGATTTCCTTCCAAAAATGACTTTGCTACCTTAATTTCATAAATCCCCTTCAACGCTTTCTCAGTTGCTTTAAATGTTTTGGCGTCGTCCCAAACTATTAGCGAGGGTGCTCACATTCTAGCAGTAAATCTTTGCATACAATTCAAAAAACAAAGTGCACTTAAACTATCAAGTAAATCAAGACAAATTGTTCTTGTAACACAGCAGGAAAATAGTGCGAAGTATACTTTTACCATCTGTCCACCTTCTTTTGAAAACAATAGACCAACAGCAAAATCTACTCATACTTTAGAAAAGGGTGGTGAATACTGAACTCTAAAATCTGCTAAATCTGCTTGCACTCGTGTTTTATAAGCCTCTCCTTGATGTCTTCTACAAATCCTGCAATTTCCTAACACCTTCTTCACGATCTATCTACTTTGTTTCCCATTATTTGCCTCGTAGCTGAACAAAAGTCGTTCTTACCCCACTATGATGAACCTTCCTGTGGCAATCTTTCAACTCAATAAATCCGGTTAAGTGATGATCCTTAGGCAATAAAATTGGTTCTCTAGCTTCTAGCTCTAAATCTGACACTTCCAATGTTTTAGTCCTCTTTGTCCCGAGTTTAACTCTTGCCTTCAAATTGTCTACAAACGGCACAATGATAGCTATGACACTTATTAGTCTCTTTATATTACTAAATTTGCCAAATTTTATCACACAATCTTTATCTACTACCTGTGTGTTAGCCAATACTGTCTTCTCGACTTCCGCAAGACTTTCCTCTGTAGTTTTAACCTCTTTTGGCATTGGCCAATCACAATGGGGACCTGACAGCCACTTCAGTCCCTTCCACTAAAGTTCACTTTCCTTTAATTGTGATGTCGTAATTCCCCTTGAACCTAATTGCGCTGGGTTGTCTACACCCGGACAATGTTTCCAGTCATCCTTCCTGCTCAATCTTAAAATCTCGTTAACTCTATGGCGCACAAACTGTTTCCATTCTCCCCTATTACCAATCTAGCACAATGCAGTCATACTGTCCAACCAATAGTATGTACCATTAAATTGAACGTAACCTTCTAAGGCCAACTTCACTGTGTCCATCAACTATGCTAATATTCCAGCTGACATCACTTCTAATCCGGGAGTTGTCTGCAATTTTATTGGCGCTATCCTTGTTTTCGATGTAAGCAACTCTAGGTGGTAGGCACCGTTTAGCTCTGTCACAAAATATACGACCGCACAGTATGCCTTTTGGCTGGCATCTGCATACCCATGCAAGTAACACTTTACCTTACTAAGTAAATTACCATAGACACATCTCGCCACAACTAAATCCCTGACTCTCTCTAAATCTTCTATCCATCTCTCGCAACGTTTTTTCTTGTCACCTTCCAGCTCATTATCGCATTCAGCTTTCTTAATACACAGCTCCAGAAACAATAACTTAGCACAAACGATAACAGGACTTATAATAACTAAGGGATCGAATAATCCTGCAAGTATACTTAGTATATTTCGTTTACTTGGAATGATTGCCTTTGCTCTTTCAGCCAATTTCCAGAGGCTAAATACAAAGCGATCCGACTTACACTCCCATCCCAATCCTAGTACTTTCTCAAAACTTCCAATGATACTATTTTCCCCAACTGATGCTTTGGCATAAGTTTGCTTATCAACCACTTTCGAATTATTAAATTCTGCCCTTCTTTCCTCTAAAATGCTTCTTTCTCTCTTTTCTATTTCTTTCAAAACACTCTCATCGTTACTAAGCCACTTCCTAAGCCTAAATCCTCCGCAGACAATCGTTCACTTGCTGACTCATACAACCTCATTACTTTCTTCTTGGATTGTTCACCGGAAACTAGATCATCGACATAAAAGCTATCTCTGAGTTTTTTAACAATTCCCTGTCTATCTCTATGAATGAGTTATTGTCGTTTTTGCTTTTCGACCATTTTACTGCGTTTCCTGCTAATTTCATGTCTAATTCTTACAAAATCAGCATAGAAACAGGACATTGTTTAGTTTGAATCTAAAAAAGAATTTTATTGATTTAATTGCTTTGCTCAGCTAAACGATATCGTCAAGGCAACAAGGGCATCAAGTACAGCAAACAAATACAGCATCGGCAAGGCATGACACAAGACGCTTTGAGACAATGTTTATCATTTACATTGCTATATAACTGGCAACAACTAGTGGGGGAACTCGTTCAAGTGAAAAAAGCTTGTCAGAACAACACCAAAGCTTTTTCGCTTAAGCTGACCGCCAGTTTTTTTTTGGCTAGACTGCAGTTTAGCGGACACGCGAAGCGCTTGTATGGGAGAGCGGGCTCGTTTTGGCATATGATTATATGGTAGGGTTGGGGTCAGTGTCCAAGGTGTCCGCTAAGCTGCAGTAGTCGGGCTAAAACACACTAGGCAGTCACAACACCTGCAAAACGGTGTAAATTAATAACAATTACACTTCTCATTTCTATAGTAGTTGATCTATCTGCACATGCTTCAGTAGTTTTCTATCTACACATGCTTCAGTAGTTTTTCTATCTACACATGCTTCAGTAGTTTTCTATCTACACATGCTTCAGTAGTTGATCTATCTACACATGCTTCAGTAGTTTTCTATCTACACATGCTTCAGTAGTTTTTCTATCTACACATGCTTCAGTAGTTGATCTATCTACACATGCTTCAGTAGTTGATCTATCTACACATGCTTCAGTAGTTTTTCTATCTACACATGCTTCAGTAGTTTTTCTATCTACACATGCTTCAGTAGTTTTCTATCTACACATGCTTCAGTAGTTGATCTATCTACACATGCTTCAGTAGTTGATCTATCTACACATGCTTCAGTAGTTGATCTATCTACACATGCTTCAGTAGTTGATCTATCTTCAGTAGTTGATCTATCTACACATGCTTCAGTAGTTTTTCTATCTACACATGCTTCAGTAGTTGATCTATCTACACATGCTTCAGTAGTTTTCTATCTACACATGCTTCAGTAGTTTTCTATCTACACATGCTTCAGTAGTTTTTCTATCTACACATGTAGTAGTTTTCTATCTACACATGCTTCAGTAGTTGATCTATCTACACATGCTTCAGTAGTTGATCTATCTACACATGCTTCAGTAGTTTTTCTATCTACACATGCTTCAGTAGTTGATCTATCTACACATGCTTCAGTAGTTGATCTATCTACACATGCTTCAGTAGTTGATCTATCTACACATGCTTCAGTAGTTGATCTATCTACACATGCTTCAGTAGTTTTTCTATCTACACATGCTTCAGTAGTTGATCTATCTACACATGCTTCAGTAGTTGATCTATCTACACATGCTTCAGTAGTTTTTCTATCTACACATGCTTCAGTAGTTGATCTATCTGCACATGCTTCAGTAGTTTTTCTATCTACACATGCTTCAGTAGTTTTCTATCTACACATGCTTCAGTAGTTGATCTATCTACACATGCTTCAGTAGTTTTTCTATCTACACATGCTTCAGTAGTTGATCTATATACACATGCTTCAGTACATCATCCTTTACAGGACCTAATGACGTTGAAATCTTTTGAATTTTTTTACAAAAGCATTTTAATAACTTCACATTTTCATGGCACAAACTTTATTCGTAAAGCGGTAGAGACCATAGAGAATGTAAAGTAAATGGCACGCAATCAACGAGTAAATCGAAATAGCGCTCAAACATTTTCGCGTATTCAGTTTGAGCATATCATTGGGGTGACTCACAAACATTCTTCTCTCTATATATATAGCATTTTGAAAACAGAAAGGCATTTCTAAAAGCTCAAAAACGATATATGACGTAGCTCTTTGACATGCAGGTGCGACTTTTGATTCTTTTTATGTTAAAAATTACAATTGTAAATGCAATAAAATCGTGATTAAAATGCTAAAGTTTTTAAGAGTGTTTAAAATACTCCTCTTAAAAAGTTTAGCATAACCGAAAATTAATATTCAACAACTGATTTTACGTAAATGATTCCCAAAAAATACTATTTTATCAACATAAATTAAAAACTTTCGTTTCAAGTAAAATTTATCAAAGATAGCTAAGATTATTAATTTAGTAGTTTATGGTCTTCTAAAAATTGATAAAAAGTTTCTACGATTACCATTCAATCCTCGTAGCCAAAGAAAAAAACGATAATGTGTTAAAGCATGTTGCAAAACAAATACATTTACTGAGTTATGTTTAAATAAACGCATTATAGACTATGATTGGCATTACCATAAGCGTTACATAGTATATTCAAGAAAAGGCTACCAGCTAGAACATTATACCATATTCTTAGAAACAGTCTAAAAGATATAAGACGTCAAAAAATGACGATCTAAGATTATAGAAATCTAAATTCCTATGTCTGTCTTTTGGAAAGTTACGTGAACTGTCCAGTAAAGTACTTGATTTCAATATTGTTGATACATCAATTTTTTGCAGATAGAATCAAGAGAAAAAAGAAACCTATTTTACATTAGTCAAATAATTAATGTTGTTCAAAAGGAACTTGCTTCGTTTTTCATCAAACAATGGAACTTTCATTACAAATCATCTCATGGAGAATGGGATGATACACCCAAAAGTGGCAAAAAATTTTGCACTTTAGAACGTATAAAACCAAATGTCCATAAAAAATATCGGGATGGAGACACCAGTAAGTGGGACTGTACGATATTATTTGATGCTATACTTTTTTCAAATTCAATTACAATGCATCTTGACAAAGAAACAAATGATGCTGTTCATGCACTTCGTGGTGAAAGAAACAAGTACGCACATTGGTATGAAGGGGAATGCTCAGATGATGATTTTGATGATATAGTCAACATCATTGAAAAATCCTTTCAAGATTTGAAATTTTCTCTTGATGCAATCAATGAAATAAAAAATCATCGAAAGTGTTTTAATTCGTTCCAAGTTCTTCCTTCAAAATCTAATCATTTTTTTGTTGAACGCACTGAATTACGAGATAAAATTATAAACGATCTTGAAAAATTAAGCAATGATAAACTGACATATTTTTACATCACTGGTAATCCTGGCAGTGGTAAATCACAACTTGCAAGACAGGTTTGTGAAAAAATGTCGTGTGATTGGAAAAATAAAACTTCCTTTGTAATGACTCTCGATGGAAAAAATGAGGAATCTCTTTTAAAAACTTACTGTGAACTTGGATACCGTTTAAACTGTGACAAAGATATGATTAAAAAATTTGAAGATGAAAATTGTTCCATCGCAGACAAAGTGAAGAATTTGCGATCGTTAGTATCCACACGATTAAAATTCTGGCAAAATTGGTTGATCATTGTAGACAACGTGGCACAACTCAGCAAAATTTCTTCATTACTCCCCCAAGTTGGTGATCCCATGTGGATAAACGGACAAATCATAGTAACTGTCCAGAACACAGATGCCGTACCTCAAGACGATGAGTTTAACAAACATATTTCTATCAGAAGTGGCATGAATGATAAAGAATGTTGTGAACTGTTGGAATATTACACTAAAGATGATAATACTGATGATCAATTGTTGAATGAAGTATCCCACGCATTAGATCATCAACCGCTGGCTTTGGCTGCCGCTGGTTGTTATGTCAGTCGTGTAAACAAAGCAAACTGCTCATTTACTTGGAAAGAATATTTAAAGAAAATATCTTCAGAAGAACAAGAAAACATGGACGCCACTTTTGTTAAATCTAACTCAGTATATCCTAGAAGTATGTTACAAGCTTCGCTTTTAGCTGTCAGACAAAATGCTGAAGAATCCTCAATATTGGCAAATGTTATTAACTTTTTTTCCGTGATATCGTTTGATCCTATACCACGAGACATTATTATTTGTTATGTTCAAGAAATTGATCCCAAACACTCAAAGGAAGATATATGTCTTTGTTTAAAGGACTGCTCATTGTTCTTGCATTCAGAAAATAATGACATTAGTCTACATCGCATTGTTCACAAAGCAATTATTGTTTATCAATCTGAACATTCAAATGAAGAACATGAAATGGAAACTAACGTTGATCAAATATCTAAAGCACTTTACATGTTTAAAGAGAGAGACGACGAAATCAAATTAATGCCACATCTTGAAAAAATTGTTCAATTATTAAAGACCAACAAGACAAAAATCAACATGAACACTTTACAAGTTTTCCAATATTTTGTTGACAAATTAAGACATTTTGGAAAATACGATCTTGCTCTTGAACTATTGGATGAATTTAAATTAGAAGAATCTAGTTATGACGAAGCTTGGTATTTTAATATTCTCGGTGTTTTATACGATTTAACGGGGGAATATGGCAAAGCTACAAATTATCACGAAAAAGCTCTGGAAATTCGAAAACAATTGTTAGGTCCAAATCATGTTAATGTCGCTGAGTCTTTAAACAATCTTGGTTTGGTGTTACATAAAACTGGAAACTACGACAAAGCTATAGAATTTCATGAAAAAGCTCTGGAAATTCGAAAACAATCGTTAGGTCCAAATCATGTTGATGCTGCTATGTCTTTAAACAATCTTGGTAATGTGTATTATGATACTGGAAACAACGACAAAGCTATAGAGTTTCATGAAAAGCTCTGGAAATTCAAAACAATCGTTAGGTCCAAATCATGTTGATGTCGCTGCGTCTTTAAACAATCTTGGTAATGTGTATAATGAAACTGGAAACTACGACAAAGCTATAGAGTTTCATGAAAAAGCTCTGGAAATTCGAAAACAATCGTTAGGTCCAAATCATGTTGATGTCGCTGCGTCTTTAAACAATCTTGGTAATGTGTTTTATGAAACTGGAAACTACGACAAAGCTATAGAGTTTTACAAAAAGCTCTGAAAATTAGAAAACAATCGTTAGGTCCAAATCATGTTGATGTCGCTAGGTCTTTAAACAATCTTGGTAATGTGTATAATGATACTGGAAACTACGACAAAGCTATAGAGTTTCATGAAAAAGCTCTGGAAATTCAAAAACAATCGTTAGGTCCAAATCATGTTGATGTCGCTGCGTCTTTAAACAATCTTGGTAATGTGTATAATGAAACTGGAAACTACGACAAAGCTATAGAGTTTCATGAAAAAGCTCTGGAAATTCAAAACAATCGTTAGGTCCAAATCATGTTGATGTCGCTGGGTCTTTAAACAATCTTGGTAATGTGTATAATGATACTGGAAACTACGACAAAGCTATAGAGTTTCATGAAAAAGCTCTGGAAATTCGAAAACAATCGTTAGGTCCAAATCATGTTGATGTTGCTGCGTCTTTAAACAATCTTGGTAATGTGTTTTATGAAACTGGAAACTACGACAAAGCTATAGAGTTTTACCAAAAAGCTCTGGAAATTCGAAAACAATCGTTAGGTCCAAATCATGTTGATGTCGCTACGTCTTTAAACAATCTTGGTAATGTGTTTTATGAAACTGGAAACTACGACAAAGCTATAGAGTTTTACGAAAAAGCTCTGGAAATTCGAAAACAATCGTTAGGTCCAAATCATGTTGATGTTGCTGCGTCTTTAAGCAATCTCAGTAATGTGCTTAAAAGAACTGGAAACTACGACAAAGCTATAGAGCCCTCGAAAAAGCTAAGAAAATTCGCAAAATAAACGTTAGGAACTAGTCAGGTTGATGTCGTTAAGGCTTTTAGACAATCAGGTGTGTTGTATTATGAAACTCGGGAATATGGCAAAGCTTTACAGTTACACTTTGGTAGCTACGTGTTTCAAAGAAAATTGTGCCTTCTAAATTATGTTAAGCCTATTTTTAACACATAGACCTTAGGAGCAAGGCTTCCACCTGCCAAGTCAGCTCCCCTCTCCCTCAGAAGGTATTTTTGGTAGTGAATAAAACGTTTGCAATTTGCATTTTGTGAGGTAAAATGAACCTAAAGATGTAATGATCCTTGTCTATATATAGTTTCACTGATATCTAGTCAATAAACTTACTCTACAGCCAGGAATCATCCTAAGTAGAACTTAGAACTGCCCATGCCCTGAATCTGACATTCTTCTTTAGACTTTATTTCTAAAGTAATTTGTTTTTATGTTATAACCAAGTAGTAATTTTTATTGTATGATTTACAAACATACTAAAGTATATTGAGATGACAGAGTTTTATTACATAAATTTTGTTAATTAAATACTATCCATTTACTTGTTCATATTCTTTGATACATTCAGTAATTTTTTACCAAGCTCCATATGCCTAAGACCATATTCCAGGTTCCTATAATTTCCAAGTGGTACACCTTTCATACCATACATACCACCCCACCATGCTGCAGCCAATATTCCTGTGCTGTCACTATCTCCACCATGAAACATAGAACAAGAGCACAATTGAAACCAGGAATCTTTTGCCATCATCAAAGCATCGTAAGCAATCATTGGTGCATCTTAACCACTGGACCCACCCCAACCTGCATAACTGACAGATTTATAAAAAGCATCACGTTCAGGTATGTTATAATTCACTGGAAACTTTGGTTCGCTGGTTCCATTCATTAATCCCGTAGTTCAAGATATGACTCCCAACTATTTTTAAAGTAACCCCAAGATTTCTTGTTTTCTTCTACATCACGACCAACCTTCTCAATGTATTCCCAAACTTTGGGTAAAACACTTAAAAGTCCTGCTCCCCATTTTTTTGGAGCCATCTTCTGTATAGCATAGGTTGTAAATGAAGCTGCAGTAACAGCCCTAGATAACCTATAATTAAAATCATTATCTTTAAAGATTGCTAATTTTAGGTCACTTACATTATGATGACCCTATTTACATAATAGCAGCATTTTGATATGGATCATGGATTCAATGGCTGTAGTAGTGAAGATATTAAAGCAAAACAGCAATGGCAATTCAAACAGTTTTAGAAGACAGAAATTTGGAAATGTGGAAAAGTGATTAAGGGATGGATCAAAGATATGGTCATTTAAAGTGAGCAATGTTAGAAGGATGGAGGCATTTGAGATGTGGTTCTAGAAAATGATGGATTGCATAGACTTATGCAAACCTAAGGTCAACCTTCTTTTATTTCATTTATAAATTGATATTAGATAAAAGGATATGAAACATTCATGGTAATGGCTTTCAAGTAAGTAATCAAAGGAAGAGTTGAAGATAAAACATCTAAGAAAAGCAAAAGGATTGAAAAGCTAAATTACTATAAAGGTTTGTTAAAATGAAAAGCAATGCAGATAACAGGAAAACCTAGCAAACTTTATACAAAGCAACACTTGTTGATAGACAAAACACTAGACATTAGTGACTTGATAATTGATACATGATCTGAAATCGTTGCTTTATTATGAAAGGTGAATACCTGTGGGGTGATTATGAGTCATCCTTCCACTTTCAACAGCAATTTCAATTAACATTTCAATTTGATCTTCACAAGGAAACATCAAACCTATACACATGGATCTCATAGCTGCACCACATCCTCCACCTCGTTCATTAAATGGTATAATGTAACCTTTTTCCTCAAGAGGTTGTAACATGAAACATGCCTTTGTTGTGGTCTGCCCAGGAGCTCTTTCCCACATATCCTCAGCACATGTCTTCTTGTACTTTGTAGCCATAATGCTCAATAACTCTTCCGTTGTTGTCCATTCAGAAACCAACGCTTCTGCTGTAGCAATGTGTAGTACAGTGTCGTCACTAACCCTCCATCCTTTAATGTCAATTTTATCAAGTCCTCCGAGTTTTTCTAGTTCTTCATGAATTTGAGTACCACTGTAACAGAATTCCCACAAACCATTCTTATAACCTAGAGCATCCCCACTCCACTGAGAACCATAACTGCTTCGTATTTCTCGGATAATTGGACCGTATTTTCAAGAGCCATTTTAATATGTTTACTTCACCGTAGTTTAATGAATTTTTTGAAACACGGGAAAGTACTAAGCTTCCCTCAACTTAGTCAACTAATAAAACGTAAAATCTTTTCTTTGCTTTGTTTCAATATTGTTTCATACTATTGTTTAGATTTAGACGAGAGCGTTGGGAGACTGGGACTGTTATTTTGTAATCCTTAATCTTTACCCGATTCCATGATCTTCAATCTGATTAACATGTTGCTTCTTGCAAAGATTCTTTAAAATTTAAAAGTTCCTTCCTTATATCATGGATTATCCGACACGGATTTAATCCAAACTTGACAATTTGATTGCACATATACTAAAAAACAGTGTATTGGGAATCGAACCCAAAGACTAAATTTTCCGCTCTTTGAAGATACCCCACAGTTGGGCTGTTTTTTCTTGGAAAGTTCAGACGATTTTGGCTATTGAACATATTTTGAATATTTTATAGTTCCAAAATTTGATCTTTGTAGAATTTTTGAAGCTCAAATTTGGTAAGTTATTGCTTGATCGTAATAGACAAAAACAGGTCAAGAGCTTTGTCGTTCAATTACACTTCACAATTTAAAGTCACAAACAATAAACAATTATCAGCTTTTTTATAATGCCGGTTTAGCATTAAAATGCTTAAATATCCAACTTTACGCCCCAAATACATGCAAGTTTAACTTTCACATTTACAATAAGTGTTAAGTAAATAAATATAAAAATGATTAAACTGAAATCACCCAAACTGTTCTAAAATGCAGAATTGCTTAAACATGACGCTGTTTTTAACGAAAGTGAAGATGGCTGTAAATTTTAGCTGATAGACCCTAGGTTCGCTCAGCTAAGCATCCATAGCCTTCAAATTGCATTTCTTTTGTTCCATGGTTGTATATGACAAGTAGTACAAGTTTAGTCCCACACCAAGGTCACTGTTTTTTGATGACTTAACCGAAATAAAAATCCCTAATGGAAAAACCTGAACGGTATAAACCAAAACCGAACACAACGGCACGAGAATTTGGAGAATACTGAAGAGGAAAAACCATTAGGGATTTCAGCCGAAGTTCCGCGCCCGGGGACCCTTAGAAACAAAATCTTTACTTACCTTTGCAACGATGCAAATACCAAAAAAAAAAAACCAATTTCTCAAAGACACCTTCAAGTCCAAAAATCTTTCAAGTATTTTAGTTATGGATATAATTCGCCATTTTAACGTACATACAACTTACGTACAAACCGCCACATTTTAGTTTTACCGCACGTAAACCGATCAGCGAACTCGACAATTTTCTACTTTGGACGAGAAAATTGTGTAATTTGGATGGGAATTTCTTTTAACGTGTGTTTTCTTATCTAATCCACATCCGAATCAGTCGCACCTAGCGCCACCTTAGCAGTCCCTATTTTGCACCGTTTCATTCAGTGCTTTGCGCGCCCGTGCCACTAACGCTTAAAGTTGGAGCAAGCGCTTGCTGCATGACATGGATTAGATAAATGTACTTCAAAATATTTTAAGCAGACAGACGAAATTTAATATTTTTTGAAACAATTTAGAACACTTGAAGAAGCACACGTTAAGTTTGGTTACCGAGGGACCGTGGATGGTTTAACCAAACAACCGGCAGCGCTTGATTTAAGTTATGTTTTAGTTTGACAATTATCACATAGATGACTACATAGCAACGCGAATGGTGAACATGGAAACCATCGTGTAACTATTTTGTATCATATGTGACAACGTCTGCGGTTTGTCTTCATGGTAACCATCAAAGAAAACAAACAATGTGCTTTTATTAAAACTATGTTTCGTGTTAGTTTGGTTAATATGAAGCCATTCCGCATACTTAGACCTGGTGTACTAAACATTTTTTTATGCCTGTTTTGCTGTGGCTTGCCGCATCGAAATTCCAGGAATGAAGTTTTCTTAATAAGAAAACAACATATCCATTTTTACATTTACAGTAATTGCCACGCCGCTCCTAAACTGTAAATGTCTTGACAAACTGAAGACTATTTGAGTTTCAATTTGTCGATTTGAAAATGACTGACAAGATTAAAGTTTCCTTCGAAAGATTTTGAAAAATTTAGTCATTTCTCTTGATAGTGGAGTTCATCCTTTAAATTTATAAAGGTTCTAACCCCATACTCATTATCTAAGCGTAGCAACTACTCGCTGCAACTACAGCGCATGCCTAAGCTATCTAAACTTCCTACCTGCGCATGGCACCGGAATTCCGCCCTGAAAGGAATGCCCTTGAAGGAGGTAACCCATCATGCCCTTAACTTAACTTAACCTAGTGCATGTTGCACCTACGGGCGACCTCCAACCGGGGTGGGTTGAACTACTCATGCATTATAGGGGATCCATGCAGGAGTGCCTTAATAGTCAATGTAGAAAGCCGTTCATGAAATTGGCCAACTACAACGACTGCATGCTCTTACCGTACTAGGGAGATATTTTTCTTTCCACCAAAACCACGATCTTCCCTTGGTCTTCAATAGGCCTTGCTCGCTTGATCCAGTCTTCAAAGGTCTTCTTACAGATGCTATTTGCATCCTCTACGCTAAGGTACCATTTGTACCCACTAACCCCAAGTTGAAGTTGCCTTCCTTGGGCCAAACTTCACTTGCATTTCCGATTCTAAGCTATGGTCCTGCCTATCCTTCTGCGAGGCAACAACCGCTGCGATCATGCGTAGCTCCTTAAAGCAGTATATTCACACAGAGGTTTTCGAAGGTAAATTATATAGAACAACACAATTGTTGCATGCCAGTCACAGACTTAAAATAGTTGATACAAATTCACGCTTACTAAGACACAAATTTTAAAAGAATTAAAGCAGCACCGATAAACACTATTGGATTATTTTAACCAAAGAACACTTTTATTACCTCTTAATCAAGACTATTTTGAAAATGCAGATGTAAATTTCTTTAAATATATTTTTTTGCATTCCTGCATTAAAAAATAGCCTTACAGTGGAATATACTGAACACCAGGATTTGTTGTGGCTATTGCCCAAATTATATTAGAGATTTGACCTGTTAACAGGCCTAAGTAAATAAAAGGTTTATTATTATTACACTTACGGTTTTCGACGAATCCTTGGCAGTTCGACGACAGACTACGATGAATGACAAATCTCATGCCAATTGTGAAGATGAAACGATCGGATGTTGAGCAAGGACAGCCACAAAAAAGCCCAAAATAATTTTTTGAAAATTTCAGAACGTTGATGGTGAAACCATCGTATCCAATTTTCTGGCTACCTGACAAACAACACCGCTTTTATGTCGACGACGGCAAGCACAGAAACAAGATTGGCCATTTCTTGCAACTGTGCATGTCGTCTACGGCATTAAATCGGAAATATCGACAGCCAGTCGGAAAATTAGGATTTTAGGTTTTATTTTCATGTTAAAGAAATTCCATGTTTTATTACAAAATTTTCAATTAAATAATGTTGACATTTGGGCATTTGATAGCGGCGTGGTTTTATCCATCATTGCGATTGATTGACCAGTCGTGATGTTAGCAGGAAAACTCCCAGGAAAATGTTTTAGAAAAGTTTATAATATTGACTTTCCATGGAAACAGGCGTTAGGCTGATGGATGCATTGCTCCAGAAGAGTGTTTAGCGTTTGCATTCTTTGTAGAGATGGTCTTTAGGGCATTAGAAGTCACGTATTTTTCAATTTCATCAAAGTATATTGTCCATTCTTGATCATTGTTCAGAAGAGTTCATTAAAGTATATTGTTCATTCTTGATCATTGTTCAGAAGAGTTCATTAAAGTATATTGTTCATTCTTGATCATTTTCAGAAGAGTTCATTAAAGTATATTGTTCATTCTTGATCATTCTTCAGAGGACTCATTAAAGTATGCTGTTCATTCTTGATCATTGTTCAGAGGATTTCATTAAAGTACATTCTTGATCATCGTTCAGAGGTCTTCATTAAAGTATGCTGTTCATTCTTGATCATTGTTCAGAGGATTTCATTAAAGTACGTATATTGTCCATTCTTGATCAGAAGGTTTCTACATAGGACAATTGAAGCCAATGTCAGTTCACTACTATACTTCCATAAATGAAAACATTGATAACATACTTACATTGAACATTTTATTCACTAGTAATGTAGTTCAAGGGAAGAAGAATTTCAACCAAATTACAGAATTGTATTTTGTTCTTATGTTTAGATGAGCGTCGAGGAACTGGTCGACAACAGCCACAATTCTCTTCAGCCGCTGTGAACAATAACCACTTTCTTTAATTGTGGAGTCTACGATCATGGTAAATACACCAACATTTGTTCGTTGTTTCTCAATCTCATTTGATGACTAATTGCCGTGTAAGAGAAGAATGTCCAGGTCTAAAATCAAGCATAGAGGAAACAAAAGTTACTAAGACGGAAACTTTATGGGAAGGCCACACTGCACTTTGCATTAATGAACATCACATGCAGTGTCCCAATTCAATGTTTACTCAATGCAACAGAACTTGAAACAACACATTTACCTGAATATTTTTCAAAGCACTCCAAGAGATATTTCACCGTGGAAAAATTTTGACTTCGGCTAACTGTTCTTCGTGCAACTACAGACTTTCACGTTCAAATGGCACGTTCTTAGTCTTAGACTATGGCCCAAGTTTCACGAACTTGTTGTATTCTGATTGGTCAGTGACTAGGTGTGTTGTAAACGTGTTGTGTTCTGATTGGTCATTTACTAGGTGTGTTGTAAACCTGATTGGTCATTTACTAGGTGTGTCGTCAATTGTACATTGTGAAATTTAGAATTTGCACGATTCATCACTTTGAAGTAATTAATCCCCATAGAGCGGTAAATTCAATTTAATACAATATAAATAAAAACGTATACTTCAGCTACAGCAAATAGCAAATCCCAAACATTTAAGTCTCCTTGGGGAACAACCACAGCTGAATAATGCAAATTCTAAAGGTCCACTGATGTCAAAAAT